GGCTGCGGACTTTGGCTGGGAACATCTCTCGCCAGATCTTAATGAGGTACAACCAGTACTCCGACCGGGTCGAAGGTAGCGGCTGTTTCTGCTGGTCCTGTTGTTGGGGACTGCTGGGGGTCGACTAGGACTTCGCCATTAGCCAGAAGAAGAGCTCCCGCATGCTGGGCGGAGTGGTGGCGTTGAGCAGTGGTCTGATCCTGTGCAGGGACAGCGACGTCCAGGGTAGCCGCTGTTGTGTCGACGGTTTGACGATCCACTTTGTTTGGAGGGCTTTGGTTTGGGTGGTCGGGTCTAGGATCCCCAATCCGCCTTTGCCCTTTGGTTGGATACGATGCGACCAGGCAAGTTTGGGTATGAAGTCTTGTCTGGAGGGGTTCCCAGTCCATAGGTAGGCTGTGTCTCGCCGTTTAAACCGCTAGTACACACCCCCAGCCTTGCAGAAAGTTTTTGTCGCCACAAGCAAAACTCGGAGGCTCTGTGCGGCCAGGCCCGCCGTTGAAAAAAAAAAATTGGCGGCCTCCGAAGTGGTGCGGGTTTTGTGTTGACACCCTCGGGCCGATATGTGGTGCACTGGTGCTTTAAGAGTGGTAACCATGCCAGCCTCAGGTGTCCAGATCGTAGCCGCGTACCACAGCATAGAGAAGACAGACACCTTGAGCACCAGTGCCCTTCCAAACACTGAGGTATAAAGGCTGGACCATGTATCCATTTTACGTAGCATCTTGGTCAGTATCTTCAGCGCCATTGCTTGGCCGGGTCCTGTTTCTGTAAGCTTGATTCCCAGGAAGCGTAGGGGCGACCTCGGATCCTGCCACTCGAACCCCTCTGGAGAGGCGGACTGTGGCGGTTGCGGGCAGTCTGCTACCCACCAGCCGATAGTCTTCCGCCAATTGACTTTTATTTCGGAAGCGAGTTGGAACGCTAGCATAGCTCGTGTGAGGCCCTGGAATGAGGCTTCAGAGGCTCTGATGATGGCTGTGAGGTCAGCAATGCCCATTGTTCATTGACGCGGATTGATGGTTCTCCGATGGTCTA